ACAGATTTATTTTTTCTTAGACCGTCATTAGAGAAGTTGGGGATTAATACTGTTCTCATTTTTAAAATTGTCGCAGTAAATGGTGTCACATCTGTCTGTGCAAAAAAAATTCCAAAGGCATCTAACTGAAAAAGTGCCTATGGATTCCTAGATTCCTTCTGAAGTCGGTCTGTCTTACAGGTTTTCAAAAACACACATCGTCAGCTGTGCTTCATTGCTCTTACTTGCCTACTTGCATTTAAAAAAAAAATGAGCTCTCGGTTTTCACCGTTTGAAAGTTGATGTTGATGCAAAAAGTAATCTTCAGTTTCTTCCTGAAAAGTTTCTCAGTTTCAAATAAGTTATTTAACTTCAGAAGCAAGCCAAACCCTGACAGTGCATTTCCCGCTCGATTACGAGTTAGAAGAAAATGCATTATGATTCTCTGAAAGCTGTGACAAAGATAATGAGCAAGCAAAATCTCCGATGCCAGCTAGCAAGTCCTCAGAAATCTGCTTCCCCTGCTGTGCATCTTCTATTCAGACAAAGAGCTTCTGAAACATTGAAAATAATGAGAAAAATAGTTTATAGCGAATTAACGGGTTATCTGTCTTTGACTGGATTCAAGAACTATGCAATCGAACGATTGTAGAGAAGACTTAAAGTTAATAAGGAAGTATGAGAAAATTGCAAGCCAGGCTAGAAAAAAAAAGGGATCAGCAGATCTGTCAGAACTATTTGTCTTTTGCTAAACTACAGGTTTTACAGTGCCTTACAAGAGAGATGGCATCAATTTTGAGGAATAATGCATATCTCGTAGGTCGCAGCAAGTTTGCAGGGGCCTTGGAAGTCACGACAGTTACTACGATGCTGAAAGGTTGAAAGATCTTGGCTAATTAATGTCCACCCTAGCCTGGTGATTTCCGGCCAAATGTGCAGTGCCTCTATGGGCAATCCCAGTCACTGTTAGCTGGTGGTGTGAGCCAGGCTGTCTCTGCTGATGCGTGGGGCATAGGTCTCATCATACACTGTGAGTGAGCTCTGTTACTGCCTGAGGTGCTCTGGGAGCACTAAAGCTTTTTTTAGTGATTTTAGAAGCAAACAACTTCACACTTTAATACACAGTTCACTGCTGTGTTTCTGTTCCTTTCAGTAAGAATTACACGTTTACTGTCCCCCAAAGTTATTTTTACAGTATCTCATATGTGCTTTGCTTTAATGCTTTCCAAAAGTTTCACATTGCCAAGGCAGTCTTCAATATCAGTTGTCATACCAGTACTTAGTTGAATGACTTTTTAGTTTTCTCTATTTCTCTGTAGCTGCTAGATGTACATAACAATGGAAAGAACTTGTTTTCTGGGGCCAGTCCTGTCACAATCATGTTCTTTACGGAAAGTTTCTCTGTCAGAACAAAGACAGGGAAGACAGTGTTGAGAAACAAATGCTTAATGAAGTTGGAGTCTGCAATCTGGGAGGCCCCTTTTTCAGATTAATTTTTGATGTTTTATTATACATAAGTTTGTCAAACTTGATAAACATGTTAACGTGTCATCTTGGGACCAGGCGTGCGTTAATTTAGACAGTCAGGGCAATGGGTGGGACTTCATATCGAATGGCCCTTCAGGTCTTCGACTTGAAGTCCAGTCTTTCTGTGTCGGTGTTGACATTTTCTTTTCATCTCCCTGCTGTAGGGTAATTGCTGGGATTACTGTCCTGTTCTTTTCTGTATGATGTTTGCTACAGAGCAGTCAAATCAACTGGCAGCAGCATCCTCCATTGGCTTCTTTTTTTCACAGGACTCAGCATTTCAGATCTTGCAGTAGAGGAACGTTCTTCAATTCACTAGGATTAACAAGCAGTACCTTTTCATTTCATTTATAACTGCTGCCTGCAGCTTCTTATTTAATTGTTCTTGGTTTTTTTTCATTCTGTGCATAATGGAGCCCAAACAGCATGAATATTACACACAAATATTCAGCCTGTGTATTTATTGCCCTTTTTTCTTTTGCCTCAGATTGATTCCTGTTTAGTAGCCCCTGACACCCTTCTCCTGAAATAATATGAAAAACACAAACACACAGACACACTCACACCAGGGCCAATTTTCCCAGAAGTCAGTTAACTTCCCATTATGCTGTTGGACTGTGGGAGGAAACCGGAGCACCTGGAGGAAACCCAAGCAAACGCAGGGAACATACAAACTCCACACACACAGCACCCCGTAAGGTGAAACTGGGGCCCAAGGTAGCAATGATAGCCACTTTGCTACCCATAAAAAAACATATTTAAAACAATTTTAATATTGTGCATCGTAAAACAATGCATATTTCATGTGGGCTATTAGGTTAATTAAAAGGTGACAAGTCTAACTACCAAACAGACTAGAATTGGCCAAATGTTTTCCCCTTACTTTTAATCATTCTCATGTTAAAAAAAAAAACATTTCCAAGAATACCACTTACTTCACATGCAGAATTCATAAGGGAAGTTTGTGTGAAAACAATTCTTCCATGAAGTTAACTTCACCTTTACTTGAACTACCGTTTTGATATAAATCTCCTTTTAATGCCCAAGATTTCGTTAAACGAAGGTGCTAAAGTTTTCTGTTCACATATCTGAGCAGTTTCTAAAAAGCAGAAAATGAATGGCTCCTGAAACGGAGATGTTCAACTTGCCTCTTTTTACCTGGGTTTGAATCGAGGTGCCTGAGTGGAGGCCCTCAAAACCCTTCTAGAATATTCTTGAATTTAAGATAAACTTTCAAAAGGTTAAATGTGTCAATAGTAAAAATAGATTTTGAGGTGAAAAAAAAGAAAAAAAGTTTTTCTTTTGCTTTAACTTTTTTGCCAGTTATTTTAAATGCAAACTTTTGTAGCTTTGAAATTATTTCATTCAGTTCTGTACTGTTAAAATTAATTGTTGCAATGAACAGTGCTGTACATGTGACTGTTTTTGAGACTGTTTGCATTAATGTGAAGCAGTGATAATTTCAGGAAATGGGAATAAACTTCACTTATTCCTACTTTTGTTACCTGTTCTATATTTCCCCAATTTGTTCTGACCCAAAGCGGCATGAGAATGTTCATCATGGCGAAATAATTGCTGGGAACAACCTTTCCCTCCTCTCTCAATTAAAAGAGGGTTCACTTTTGGCTCCTTAATTGTCACACTCTCCTGTCACCTTGAGAGTACAGCCGAGAAGTTGTTTTTAAATTATTTAAAGGCTGTCTGCCTAGAGCTGCCTGGTCCATGAGACACTCATTAATCTTCCTTACAGCTTTCATTAAACCGTTGTCCGCCCCCTCCCTCTTTATCTCCCTCTGTTGCGCTCCCTCCCTTTCTAACCACTTCCACCTCCCCACTTTTCATCTCTTTCTTTGCTCCCCCTTCTTTGCTTTCTAGCCTTTTCTCTTTTTGCAGTTGGGAGTTTGTTTTTCCTCTTTGCCTGTCTGAGCCGCTCAGCTGTTTCTCCTGCTCTCCAACTTAACAGGACAGAACAAATAGAAACAGTGACATCTAGTGAGGGTTTCATGACCTTCTCTTACGCTTCAAGCAAAGTACCAGGCTAAGACTTACAATAATTAATCATCATAATTCCTTACACTTCCATAGCTCTTTTCTGGACACTCCGCTCAAAGTGCTTTACAGGTAATGGGGACTCTCCTCCACCACCACCAATGTACAGCCCCACCTGGATGATGCATCGGCAGCCATGGTGTGCCAGAACGCTCACCACAGACCAGGTCTCAGTGGGGAGGCGAGCAGAGTGATTAAGCCAATCCATAACTGGGGATTATTAGGAGGTCATGATTGGTAAAGGCCAATGGGAAATTTGGCCCGAACACCAGGGTAACACCCCTAATGAAACACCCTGGAGTTTTTAATGACCACAGAGAGTCAAGACCTCGGCTTTAAATCTCATCCAAAGGATGGCACCTTTTTACAGTCACTATTCTGTGGCATTAGGACCCACACAGACCGCAGGGTGAACGCCCCCCTACCGGCCCTACTTACACCTCTTCCAGCAGCAACCTTAGTTTTTCCAAGGAGGTGTCCCATCCAGGTACTGACCAGGCTCACACCTGCTGAGCTTTAGTGGGCTGCCAGATGTGACTTGCAGGGTGATATGGCTCCTGCTGCTATTAGAAACATTTCTTGCATTTGTGTATAGCTTTTCTTGTCAAAGACTTCCAAAGCACTTGTATCAGGAATTCTAAAATGTGTCAGTTGAATTGGTCTCAGAAACTACCTCCAGTAAAAAATGGAATAGAAAAATGTTTCATAATTATTACTTTGTTACTGTAGTGACAGGGTTTGGCTGAAAATTCATAAAAATGTTTTTCCTAATTAATGAGTGCTAATTGAGTGATTATCTAGTAAGTAGTAAGTGATAATTGAGTGTTAGATTGTTGATTTTGTGCACTCAAAGAAATCTTTGGCTTAATTGCAGATATCTTGGGTAAGTTTCTGCGATACCCTGCGGAGCAGTGGCCTAAACTGAGCGTGTACAGTATTTAACTACTTTAAAGGAAAATGCAGTTTGAAATAATACATACTGAGAGCCTGCAAACTTAATATTTGTTTATCTGATTTGTAGATTATCAGGTTAGTAGATCAGCAGCTTATTTGCAAAACAGTTTTGTGAAAAATCTCATTTTGTTTAGTCTTCCTCTGTGATGGAAGTAATTGACCAAGAAGAAGAATGTGTCTTCGGCACTACGGGGAAATAGTTCAGAAGCTCCTACATTCCACGCTTGTTGCTTCTGGATATTCCCTCCACTTTGGCTGAGCACAGTCTCAGGGCTGTGTTTTATATTTAGTGAATGTGGGCCTTTGTTTGCTAAACAAAGTGAACTCATTGCTCCTTACCTTATAACACTGAGAAAACCAAGGGCTATGTAGGTCATAAAAAAGGCTCTTAGGTGCAATTCAGTCAAGACAAGAAGTTAAGGACTTCCCTAGATGGCCCCTCTGTACATCTGTCCCTCCTGCAGCAGGGCTCATTTTCCTTGTCCTCACAGGCCAGCAGGTGCTGGGCTTGGTAGAGAACCAGAGCGACTGGTACCTGGGAAACCTGTGGAAGAACCATCGCCCCTGGCCGGCTCTGGGGAGAGGGTTTAACACCGGTGAGTAACCTCTTCTGTTGGTGAAATGGGTCAAGCAGAGCCAGGACTCCCAGTAGTCTAAGAGACAAAATACTGTACAGTATATAGTAACATAAGGGTTATCAACACAAGAGAGCAGAGGCTTTAATCTGCTGTGATACACAAAACGTTTATTTAAAAGATGCTGCAGTTCAGCTGGTTTTTAACTTGTGGTCAGGCGGGCTATGATGCACAGAGGCAGATGTGAGCCCTGAGTTAGAATGGTAGCAATTAAATTCATGCTGGTTAAAATCTGATAGCGACTTGTTTTCCAATCTCATCACAGCATTAAAATTTGCAGTTTTTTTTTCTTTTTTTTAGATAATTTTTCTCACCTTTTTTAATTCTGATGTTCACCATTACTAATGTACAGTAAATTATTTCCCCTTCAATAAACACCCTCTGTGATAGGTTATGTACAAGTTCTTGAACTGATTCTAAAAAAACCTTAAGAATTAACAAACTTAAAGTGACTATTTTATCAGGTAGTCTTTTACTGAATTAAACGGAGTGTAATATTCAGTTGTTTCAATCAAGTAAATGAATAAAAGTAAGTTTAAATATAGCAGAAAATACACATTGCCCAAGATAGCTACAATAATACCATACATTGATTGAAAATAAAAATATACAGTATACATCTAATTACAACAATAATTCTTTATATGTCCTTCATAATTATAGTTGAAGGTGTGATTTTTTCTGCTTAATTCATTCTGAATGCATAAATAAATGATTTGAAGTAATCATAAATTCTTAAAAACACCATGTTTC